TAACTACATTTAAACATTGCCAGAAGATTAACATGATCATAAAATCTCATGAGATTTCATTTTTTTATCTTGATACTAGGGCCATTGAGGAAATTGTACAATAGTGCCTGGGACTGAATAAGTTTGCTGATCCTTGATCTAGCCTGATGAACAATTCTGCAGAACTCAAAATCGTGCACAGTTTTGGGTGGCATTTGGGGTGATATCACCAATTGTGGAGTTTGTATGTTTTCATGGACCAGTATTGCTACATTTCATATATTTCATGTCAAAAGGAAGACATGGCTTGCTTCAGTTATCACAGCACTCTAATGCAGTATTTTTAATTTTAGTGAAGAGATGCACTGAAATGCATTATCTTAAATTTATAGTCCGAAGTGGCATGACACCCAAATCCACCAATGACAAGTTCATCATAATCAAATGCAGTGACAAACAATGTGACAAAACCCAAATGCATTGGATGGCACGCTATTTATAGTAGCAGAACCTATCATCCAATCATATAGCACAAAGCAGAAGCAATTCCCAGTAGAGGGCACACATAAATTGCACACTGATGAGAATCTAGCATATAGTCAAGTCAAGTCAAAGATTTACAGGAGATGGGAAGGTTACTACCAATTTCACTTTGAATTATTTCAGGGGTATTTCTTGCTTCTCTATTTACTAGGAGTGTACAAATCAACCTACCAAGCCCCCATTGGACTGTATGATTCAATGTAACAAGTCAAGTCAAGTCAAACCATTGATTCAAAATGTCAATCAATTAATACATCAATTTGATGAAAGTATTTGCCTGTGCAGAAAGGTCCATTAAATCTCCAAAGAGATTCAGAGGTGCCTGGTTTGATTCAACATATCAAACTGATTCAGTGATCCAGTTCAAAGATTTGATTTGAAGGGATGATTTGACTGAGCCACCTTTGAATGAAATCAAATCTTACTGCTATACTGTATACAGTAGGATATCACAAGTAGATAGGTAGGGAGGTAGTCAGTCTGCTGGAGTCTCTGAGATTGAAAGATTTTATAAATGACATAAAGAAAGATAATGCATCACAAACCAGCCACTCAGAATACCTGTAATTCATGTAATTGTCAATAGAAGCCCGTTCAGGCTCAGTCAGGAAAGCTTTGGGGCTGAGAGAGCAGCATCTTGGAAGAGCAAAAGGATGGTCTTCTAATCATGCATTCTGCCACCTGCCTGAAGTTTTCCCGCTACTTCACAGCTTGAGTTCTTGTTCTTCTGTCAGCAAAGTCTGTTATCAGTGAGATAAGAAGAAGAGCAAATAACCTGAACCAATCCAAAATAACTGGAAATAAATTTTAAACAATTCCTCTGGCTGTCCCCAGTACACACGCTCACTATATAAGCACATTACGTGGCACATACAAACCTGCTTCCCAGCAAATTGACATGGCTTTATCCATTATGATTGCAGGACTATACACAGTGACCCCCTTTTAAGACAGGGGTAGAAAACCTGAGCTCCTTGACTAGTTCTATATAGCCCTTGGACTAATTTCAAATGCTCTGCAAGGAATCACATCATTCTTCTAGTAATTGCTCTTCTCTTTTCTTGTAGCTTGGAAGAGAAAACAGGCAGCGGAAACATAGTTCTACCTACTGTGTTGCTCCCAACAGACCTCCCCTGAGCTAAATGGAGTCAAAGAAGGATTGTTCACTTCTTTTCTAAGGGGAGATTAATTCTTTTCTTTTCTTTTGCATTTTGTATACCATGCCATTCCTATCCCAAGAACCTTGACCATCAGCTTTGGTCTTCTTAGGTCATCTCCCAGCAGGGAGTTTGCACACTTCAAAGCTTGCTCTATCTTCATCCTGGTGATTTGCTCCTTTCCCCAATGAACATCCATTGCCAACTGACCTCCCTCTGTTCGATGTATTGAACTGTCTCCTTGAAGTTTTCTTCCCACAGTAACTAATTAAGACAACATCAGCTAACTAAAGCACAATGCAAAGTGATCAGGTCAGGCTTCAGGCCTATGTACTCTCCAGTCCTTCATGGGGGAAGAGAGGCAGAAAGCTCGGAAGAATAGCCAAGGATGAGGAAGGAGATGTTCCACTTACTAACACTCTGGGCATACCTTACTTGCCATTTAAGGTCTTCCTGTGCTCATGTCAGCTTGACGTTAAGCCGGCTTAAGACAATCCAGTCCCACCTGGAATACTTAGGCAACAGGTTGCCAGCTGTCCACTCTGCAATACAAGCTCCAAGTCCTCCCAAAGGACAGTTCCCCTGCAGCTGGGCCCACCCACCTTTCTCTTTCAGGAAAGCAATGGCCAATTGTTCCTTTCCCATGGGTAGGCCTTCTGGGACATAATGCATGGCTGGCTGGGGAATTCTGAGAGTTGAAGTCCACTCGTCTTAAAGTGGCCAAGTTTGGACAACACTGACAGAATGTATATAGTTTTATATGTATGTAATATGTATGTATGTATGTATGAATGAAAATATATGTACACAAAGGAAACTAGAATTTATAAATGCAAAGTTAAAGCATCAGAATGCACAAATATGCAGCACATGACCACCTTTAAAAGTAAATTTGCTTTCATGCCAGCTCTTTTGCACTCTAATTAAGTTTTATATCTTCTTTTTAGCATTAGGGCTAAAATAGCCTAATGGCTAAGAACTTCATTTGTATTTAGTACTAGCTGGTTCAGAACCAAACAGAAATGGTTTTGTTTGCTCATCGTTTTATTACTATTTTCTTTATTTTGTCTATCTAGCTTTCCCTAGCTAGCCGAGGGCTTAAAAATTGCTAATGCAGGATTCTAGCTTTTCATCATTTTTCCAGTTCCTTGAGATCACCTTGCCTTAGGGCAGGGGGAGGGGAGAGAGAACAGGGGGGAAGCCCTCAGCTGGCCAGGAAAGCTAGGTAGACAAAATAAATAGATAAAGCAAGAGAAATAATAACTTTAAAAATGTTTATTTTGGGTTTCAAACCAGCAACTTCTTATATACTAGGCAAAGTGTTTAACCACTGTGCTATTTTAATAGTGTTAATAAAATAGGTGTTTTAGGAGCTCTTAGATCAGGATACCTTTGCCTTCCTCTGCAAAGTAGCCAAGGAACTTCTGGCTACTAGTCCATAAAGGATCCCATCAAAAACACACAAGTGTACTCAAGACAATGTAAAAGAAAAATAGGACTTTCAATCTGCAACAGGAAAGCACACCCTATAGTTGAATTTGTGATGGGAGAGCGGCGAGCAAAGGCTGATTTCATCTGTTCCTGTCTTCAAAAAAAAGTTGCTGTCCTGTTCTGGAGACAGGGCAGCTAGACTCTATGGATAAGCCCTAGCTTATGGGGAATTCCCACTGCATAGTGGGATCAGCCTTTCCTGGTGGCTAAGATGTAAGCCAAGAACCAACAGTTCTCAGGCCAGGGCTAGTAGCTTTATAAACACTTGACAGCTGCTCAGCTTCAAGTTTGGATCATACTGTGTAAAGTGCATGTTCATTTGTGGAAAAGTTGGGAAGAAAAAACTACAGGTCTGAAGCACTCTGAATAGATCTGAAGCACATTCACACTGGCTGTGGGCAATCCTTTGTTTCATTTGGCATCACTCTTGTTTGTGATAAAGGTTCTAATAAAGACAAGCCATGCTTCTGAGACTTCTGCCAAGCCACAGCCGAGTTAAGACATGTAAAATCAGGAGATCTGTGTGGTTTTTTTGCCAAGTCCTAGTCAGGAGTAACGTGATTGGCTGCTCTTGGTTACCTTATAAGCCCACCAGAGGTTTTCTGGGGGTGTCAAAAAGGCAAGATGGCAACTATGACCAGGCTATCCAAGCATGAAGCAGACACCCCGGAAACTCATTCCAAAATTATTCACAAAATAGTAGAGTATGTCCTGCTTTGGCTAGGATGGCACATTTACAAAAAGTCTTAGCAAGGAGGGCTGGAAAGGCCCACAAAGGGGAAGCAGGCTTCTCTGGACACATCCATATTAAAATAAATAATGAGGTATGTTATCCAGAAACTTTTTCCAGTTGTCATACCTTCCATCCTTAAGAAATAGATTACATACACAGATTAGTTTTTGTGCAAGAAATGTACATCTGTGTTGCCACCTGGTGGAAATTTGAGATCCAAGCAAGATGCAGCACTGCACAAACAACCACCCACTCACTGAAATAACTTCAAAGCTGAATTGGTTGTCAGAAACAAAACCAGAGCCTGTGACATCCATCAAATGTCTCTGATTTTTTTTTTTTTACTTGTGCCTTCTCTGTGGAGAATTGTTAGAATGTTTGTTTATAGTAAGAGTCACATTATGTGAGATGGGCAGCTATATAAATACGATAAAAATATAACAATGAAAGAATATGATGCTTGTCTCAGTTGTGAACCTTGTCACAGTGTCCTAGAAGACTATACCACTCTGGACAGCAACTGTAGGGCCATCCAGATTTTGAAAATTAAATTTAAAAATACTATTGTTATTCAAGCCTAGGTCTTCCTTTGGATATGAAAGAGAGGCGCAGAATGAGAATGAAAGAGTTCAAGGTTTGTTATCCAAATTATTTATTAATTGTTCCTGACAATTCAGGAGTAATATCCAGCAAAATATACTGGAACAGGAAAATATGCCTCATTTTGACTTTCGAGGTATACTAGTGGTTCCATGAGAAATAACTAGTTCATTTAAAGATGGTGATGTTTACTTGGAGACCTTAATTTGTACCCATAGTTGGAGCTGTACCCAGCCCATAGAACAGCCTGTGCCATTCTTTACGGCAGCTGCATTAAGCATTTTCCAGGTGTTCCCAAAAAAGAAGCTGTGGAGGAGGACAAATGATGATATATGCCCCATCACATCCTATTTTGATGGAGGGAGCAGAGTTAAAGTACTTTGCACTGTTGGGAGCCCCGCCTGCATTTATAGCATTAAAGTGTACAGTACTTTATTCTAGGTTAGTGTTTAAGGCACAGGTTTTGCACATGAAAGAGATAAATAATATGGCTGGGATTATGCTTTCTATATTCTCCAAATATAGATTTGTGAAGGCTTTGTACCAGATATGACAATTAAATGCTCTGTCCCATATTTCCAGGCAGATACAAGAAGGTGAAGTAAGTAGATTTATTGCAAAGAATAAGGAAGCCCTCATTCATGCAGTCATTTATTTAACTACTTCCAAAACTCAAGGTGGTTTATTATAAACATCAAATCACATATGTTAAAAGAACCCTACGTGAACAAACATAACTCCCAAACAAGGTAAGCCAAATCACATTAGATCCAATAAGGCAAATCTAATCCAGAGAGATGGTCCTGTAATTACCCATGTAGGGACTAATGGGTTAAAACCAGCATTTTGAACTGGGCTCAGAATAATCAGTAGCCAGTACAGTGACTAAAGTAGTGGTATTATAATTGTAACTTGTTCCTTCCACTTAGCATCCTAACTATTATATTTTGGACCGTGCATGGTGATGAACACGAGTCACTGTTGTCAGAAAGAGTTCTGTGTAACAGCACCTAAAATCAATCAATCAATCTCTCTCTCTCTCTCCCCCCCAGATTTAAATTCTGGGCCTCTTCCTCCCACCTTCTTTAGTCAGTAGCCACAATATAGCTGCTTGAAGTTTTTAGCCAACAGTCCCTTGCCTATAAAACAGCTTTCCTTGGGGTGAGGATTAGAGATTCCTACCTTCCTGCTTCAACATCTACCATATTGTGGCTTTTTCACTGTTCTCTGCCTGCCTGTCTCTTAGCTTTAATGATGAGTCTGAAGAAGGTGGAAATGTTAAATAGAGGAGTGTAAACCCATATGACTATAAAAAAGCATCCTTTATTGAAGCAAGAGTGAAACTAGAATGGTGTTCATTTTTTTCAATACATTCCAGTTCCTACTCGTCACAGCCACTATAACTATTGTAACTGTTAAAATTCAGTCCTGGTTATTACTTAGATAGGAGATACTCATTAACCCCTACTTTTTTTCACAAAACGTGACAAGACTGGCAGTTGAGTCTTCCTTAGGCATTATCAATGGAAAAGCATTTATTAGAACTAAAGCTACACAGCTCTACCCCATAGCATTTCACTACCTTTCCTGCACCCACACTATCTGTTGCTTGAAGCAACCACCTCTCTTTGCTTTATCATAGCAGGTCAACTTTGCACCACTGAAATAATCAAGATATCAACTGAGAAAATAAGGTTGACCTGGCAGCCCAAAACCTGTTCATACAAAAGCATGCAAGTGAATCTTAGCCTTATAATAATCTATGCAGTACCCTGAATGTGTTGAACTGAAATGTTGATAAGAAATAAAATGCACATTCAGAACTGGAAAATTAAGCAGAAGAATTAAACTGGCTAATTATTTGGCATTTAACAACCAAAAGTCAGGATGCAGTCACTGAAGTCCATTTTGGCTTCCTCTTTGCTTTAAACAGGGTTATATTTAAACTAGGAAAATCAGAAATCATTTCCAGATAGAACAGTTTTTTGAATTGGTCCACAAACTGGTTTTCGTTTTCCAGTCTGAATTGCATGGCCCAGATGATGGTGGTGTTATCCATACACAAATGATCAAAGGTTAGAAGCAGTTCCTCCAGGTAAGGGTGGTGGTATACAACATCAGCAGCTAATATGTAGTCAAACTGAGATGAAGGCCTGGGAAAATTCTTCTGCAGGTCCACCCCCCAGACCAATTCTTTCACCTGGGGCTCATGTTTGCATTTCAGTTTTGTGTTTCTGAGAACATTGTACTGGAGGTTTCCTAACAATTCAGGCAAGTCAGTGGAAGTCACACAAGCACCTGTGACAAAAGAGACCACAATGTTTACTGAGGACAGCTGAACAAGCTAGTACAAATCAATTTTATAATTCTCTATAAATAAAAGAATAATGAACCACTGCCCACTCCAAGAAATACAATATTCTGGTGTGTTCCCCAACTCCTTACTTGGTGAATTTCCAGACCAACTTTGGATGAAAGGCAGTTTTGTAATATTTGCTTAGCTTCTAACTGTAAACAGAGCAAAGTTGAGCAGAAAAGCTCTCTGAAAATGTGACAGCCCACAACTGTGGATTAGATTTCTAGGCTCAATGGGCCAGTATGGGATTGTGGTCAGATTGCCAAACTAGCCATGAAGCTCATTAGATAACTTTAGACCAGTTACTACAGGCTCTTCCATGCAACAGCACTAAACTGATACTATCCAGGGTGGAAGCCAGCAGAAGACTATCCTGATTGCACTTCCAACCCCTACTCTGCCTTACCCACAAAGCAGAGTAGGGGTCCTGTCCACATCAGAGATGGGGGGAGCATGGGTGTCTGCAGGAACTTCCTCCTTTCATCAAAATGATGGAATTAACATCACACTGCCTTGGTGGAAGCTTTAGTACTTTGGGCCATATGTGCAACATCATGACACTCATATGAACTCACATTATGACAGGACAACACTGTTTTAAACGTTATGTCTCCACCCACCACCCACCCTGCTGGTATTGTTGGAGGGCAGGAGATCCAATCAAAGTTTTTTATTATCGCAGACCAGAATTTAGGGGAAAAGAAAGCTGGGGAGGGGGGGCAGAGGGAATGCCTCTTTTAGTTCAGGTTACTACTGTCAGTTTTCCAATCCCACAGAGGGATCTCTCCATGGAATTGGAGAACTGGCAGAAAAGGAATGACTCTTCCCCTTTTCTCTTGCCCCTCGCTTCTCCTGACACCCATGAGTATCAGAAACCATGGGGGAGGGGGAGAGAAAAGTCCTACATCTCCCCATAGAATGGCAACTATATGACCATTTCCCCACTTCTCTTCATACTTGGGAAGGGAAGCAACACCCCCATAGTAAAGCTGCCAGTGGGGGCTGCAGAAGAGCCCCACAGACAGCTTCACAGTAGGCAGCTTTTCTGCAGAGCTAATGGCAGTCCTCCTGCATGCAGCTCCATGGTGAAGCTGTCCTGCCGTCCTTCAGGGTTACCATATTGGCCAGCAAGATTGTTAGGAAGCCAAGGGTAGCTTGAAGAAGCAGCTTTTTATACACTTGTCCAAAGGTCTCCGAGAACAAGGGTATAAAGAGCCCCCTGAGACTTCATCTAAGGTGCTGGGAAGGTGGCAAGTAGAAGGGTCAAGAGGTGCAGAGAGGAAGTATCTCTGTAGGCAGCACACCTTCTACTGGGGAAGTGGGTCTTCTTGGTGCCAGGAGAACAGTCACCAAAAAGACAGGTTTCTCCTGCTTCTCCCCTCTATCCCACTACACCTGCTCCCTTTGTGATTAACTTTTTAAAGTAAATTGTGGAAAGGGGAACAATGGGGTTCAGGATCCTGTTAAAAGCTAGGAGGAATTATCCCTTTAGTCCTACCACAACTACTGGAGTCCCAATCTGAATGGATTTCTTGAATCTGTAGGCATTAATTAATTAATTGGGCAGCTCCCATTTTCTCCATTGAGAGCATTTTTCCTAGAGCTACCAGATATGCAAAATCTGTGCAATCACTAGGTGCAACATCAAGTTAGAGTTTTCTGAACTACTTTGCTTCCATCTAATGGTGGTCCAGATTTTTGTGATCCTGATTTAGATTGTCTATTTTTTTTTTCTCAATCCAGGGTGTCTTGTTTAAATCAGGACTGCAGCGAGGTCCACAGGAATAAAGCCCATTGTTCCCCATACTAGAATTTGATCCAAATCAGCCCATTGCCAGTTTACTTCAGAAATTGATGAACCTTACAAATACTAATTGCAAGATTGGTGTCTTGTTCAAAGAGGCTTTGCTCTGACAACAAATCAATTTTGCACCTGTTTTTTCCACCTGTTCTATGTCCTTCAAGCTACCAGTATCACATATGCTATTTTTAAAACAGAGGACACAGCAGGAACTACCACTTACCTAGCAAGCTGGCTACTATAGAGACGAGGCCTGTTCCAGCTCCAATTTCAATAACATTTTTGTCAACCATGTTATAAAGCTTCACATTTGTTTCCAAAAAATGGCACAAAACAAGAGCCTGAGAATGAAAAAGAACAAGAATAAATTGACAATGGCAATTCTGAAAAAGAATACTGAAACAATGCCTTTAGTTCAACAAGGCCACCCTTTCATTAATATAAACTAAGAAAAAGAGGGGAAAGAAACTTCAGTTGATATGAACAAAAGAATTTCTTGACACAAAAAATATATATGAAAAGCATGGAACTCAGGAAGTAAGAGAAACACTCAGAAGTTCAGGGCTGTTTTATGTGAACTAGTTTTATGCAATTGACAATCCAGGGCTTTTCAGATTATTTGGATTACAATGCCCCCATAACTCTTAATCAACATGTTCAGGGGACGGGCTGGTGAGATTTGCAGTCCAAAACATATGGAAAGTAATAGATCACCTTCCCTTATAGTAACTATAAAACTCCTTCTGTGTGTTGTCTTCCAAAATTAATTGCAAAGGGGAGCTTATCTGATCTGTTTAGCTAAGGGCCTTCTAGCACCATGCTATTAATTCCTGACTGACTATGTATATTCCAAGGACTTGACAACTTTGTTATGGGCGTCATTCTGGATAGCTAACACGTTACTGCCAGAAATTGTGTAACTGGGAACAATATAGCACTAAGAATTAACAAGGGGAAAAAAGCATGCATATCACGTAAGGGATCTGTAATTGGACTTCCTGAAATGAATTTATTTTTCTTCGCTTTCCTTAAATAAAATGCAGTGGGAGCTACTAATTTTTGCAAGACAATGGGACTGGATCCATCCACTATCATTTCATCTAGCTGAATCATAGGGAGAGGCAAGTTAGCAAAGCACACATCAATAACTACTGGAATCAAATGCCATTTTACTTTAAGTCAATTGCTACTAAGCTAATTGCTACTATTTTGTTTTCTTTTTTTATTCCTTTCTATTTCAGCTGTAAACTTTAGTACATTGGCCAATTAACACTTGCTTTGAAATAACACCTTTTACCCTTGATATCTAACATTTTTAATTTACTACTCAAATGTCACATAGTACATTATTTTCAGTTTCAGATGTCTTCTTTAATAAAATGTTTAGGATCACATAAAAGCATTACATGAGTTGTTGTAACAACTCACTACATGAGTTGTGCAGGTTCAGAACAAAGGCCTGTCTAAACCAGGTTGAATTTCCAGAATGATGAACAAGATATGTATGGGAAGATAATTTCATACTTCTGAAATCTGATAAAGTACATTGTCAACAGATTCCCTTTTATATACAGGTAGTCCTTGTTTAGCCATCACAGTTGGGACCAGCAACTCTGTGACAAGGTTGCTAAGTGGGACATCACATGACTGCAACTATGCTTTCCTTTTTCCCCATTCCCCCACCCTTTGGAAGGCTTACCCCAGTGCTGGGATAATTAGCAAGAAGGGAATTAATGCTCATATTTACGTTCATTGGAGAGGAAGGGATTACAAGAGAGTAAGCAGGCACACAATGGGGAATATACATAGAAAGGAATATGCTAGCACTGGCTGTTTGCCTAGCATGCTTACGGCTCCCAGCCCCAAACACGCTAGGCAAACAGCCAGCACTAGCACACTCCTTTCAATATGTATTCTCCATTGTGTGCCTGCTTATTCTCTTGTAATCCCTTCCTCTCCAATCTCTCCACTCTGCAAGGGGGGGGGGGGAAGGTCAGGCCCAGAAGAGATTACCTAAAGAGATCACTTGTTTAGGCAATCTCTCTACTCTGCGAGGAGGGGAAAAAAAAGAAAAAATGGGTCAGGCACAAGACAACGCGTACTAACAGATTGTACTGGTGAACACATGTCTGAGAGACACTGCAAAGATCGTAAATATGTGCCTTGGTTGCAAAGTTATTTTTTCAGCACCGTCGTAACTGCAAACAGTGCTGGACAAGGCAGTCGGTAAGCAAAGTCTGCCTGTATTTCATATAGTCCTGCCATATATTTAATCACTTGCCTTGTGTCCATGGGTGATCAGAAATCTTATGCAACTTGAGTGGACTAATGCAGGAAGAACAGGACTCCACCCTGGTCTGCCAACTTGTTTGCTTCCTGTGCTAGCTGCAGAGGACAGGTTCTTACTCCAAAACTAAATCAGAAATTCAGTGGAATGACAGAGGGAAGACAGTCCCCTCTGCATTACCAACAAGGAACCAATGCAAGCTAATCTCTTCTATGGGCTTCTTTCCAAGGCAGATACAGACCTATGAAATACGCTACTGTACTTTGTTTCAGATACCAAAGCCAATAATATTGCATAACAATACCGAAGGCCAAACCACAGCTCCATAACTGTCTTTAGCTTCTGTAATCTTGATCTGGTGACCAGCAAAATTGAATTCTTCCCAAGTTTGGGTGGTTACCAGTGAAGGACAGAAACATCTTCCCATGATTTCTGCAACTATGTCTTCATCTCCATTTTGTCCTAATTCAAAATAATAACAATCATAATCATAATAACAATGACAATGACAATGTCAATAACACACATCTTAGAAATAGCAAGAGGCAGCCACGCTGCACTAACGATGGCTCCAGTCCAAATCACTAAATTGTAAATTTATTTGGACTGATGTAAATTGTCCAAATTGTAAATAAATTTGTATGTGGACTGATATCCCACTGAAATATCAACATATTTGTTTTATGTCAGTACTGGTAAAGGATCCCCACAATGAATGCTTTAATATGTATGTAATTATATAAAGACATTACCCACATAGTTGTAAAACTGTAATAACATAATTTGTTTTCTTTGTTGTTCAGTAACAATGAAATAAAAAGCCTATTGCAGTAGTCTTGTAACTGGCTGAAACTTCATAATTAGAAGACTGATGGAGTTTATTCAAAAGCAGTTGGGGCTAGCAGAGAAAGCCCTCTCTCCAACTGGCCATCTAAGGACAAGTTTGTACATCCTTTTCTAGCACAAGTAAAGGATCCTTACTTGCTTTTGTAGGAACTTGCTATTAGCTTTTGCCTACAAAGTTAGTAACTGTTGAGCCCAACTATCTTATCAACTAGGGGTAAATAACTAATGCCCCTTGAGTACAAGCAACCCGTCAAGACCTTTAGCAAGTCTGCCTTCTTTTGATTATCGCAGCCACTGCCAGTTTTTCTTAAAATATACTGCTTCTGGAAAGTTTAACAATTATAGAGGTCCATAGATCCTTTTAATGCAAATGCCAAAGTGTTTGGCAATCTTAATTCTGCATTAAACTGGCAGAATGATCACTGCGCCTTCATGTTGCAAGGAAAGGCCTTTCAGAAATTGGTCTTTTTCTGCAAAGCTCAACCATCGTAGAGCCCTCTCAAAGTGGCTATGTCTGATACTCTGGCTGTTGCTCGGCAGACTGTGATGCCTGGGCCTTGAAGAAAACAAGCAGTAACATTGGCAAACCAAAAGGCATTTCTTCTCTCTGAATGTAAATACATTTTTTCTACCTTCAGTTTGAGGAGAATGTGATAAACAAGTACATACAGTTAATCCTTGCTTATTGACGGTAATTGGGACTGGAATTTCCATTGCTAAGCAACACCGTTATAAAGCATCACGTGACTGTGTTGCTTAGCAACAGCAATTCCGGTACTTCCAGTTGCCATCATTAAGCAAATCCTGCAACGTTGTTAAGTGCAACGTCATATGGTCACCATTTGCAACCTCCTGCCAGCTTCCCCATTGACTTTGCTTGTCAAAAGCTGGCAGTAAGCGATCATATGAACATGGGACACTGCGACGTCATAATTCCGAGCCAGTCACCAAGCACTCAGATCACGATCACATAAGCACAGGAATGCTGTGATGGCCACAACTATGAGGACCAGTCATAAGTACCACTAGTTCGGTGTCATCATAAGTTCAAACAATCGCTGAACAAGTAATCGTTAAGCGAGGACTACCTATAATCTTTAGAAACCATCTACACTGATATAAGAATCACAGCAGGTATAATCGTTAAAGAGAAAGATATGCTATTGGTTGGTTTCAATCAAGAAGCATTGAAGATGGCAGTTCTGTAGTATTTCTTTGTTCCTTTCATTATACCCAATCTTGGCCAGATAAACCCTTATTTTTCTGGAGGAGTTTATCTGCATTTCTTGGTCTGTTTTGTCTAGCCATCTGAGACTGTTTATGGTCTTGCAGTGATTTACAGGCAATATTGTGGTGTCACCATGAATGAAATGGGAAAGACACACAGTGGTGCAGTCCACATATAAAATACTCTTCACTCATGCTTAAAGGGTTACTTAATAGCTGTTACAATTCTCATGCAATCCCCCCACTTTTAAGCCTGTTACATTTCATATGTAAATACTTTCACTTTGAGCCTTCTGCAAATTGTATGTGATCAATCTCACTTTGAGCTTTAATCTGTATTACAACATGAACTCCCTAATTTGTTACCTGAAGAGGGGAGAGTGAACAGTAGTATGTTAGAACCAATGACTCATGTAAAAATATCTTTGTCAAAGGGTCAACTGAGTTCCCAAATTCTTGACAATATGTGTCATCAGACCATCTCTACATGTTGAACACAAGAGACAATGTCGTACTTAAATATCTTTGACAGTAGGTCAACTGTCTGACTTGCGATCCACTCACAGATAAGATGTGCCACCAAGCCCTCCCCAGCTTTTGTATTATCTACACTCCCTGTTATGTGAAAAAGTGTAAAAAGTGACAAAATACTCCAGATATTTTAAATTTCAGCATAGACTACACACCCAGGAAGATGCCACACAGCTGCTAACTAGCTCTAGGGGGTCCGTCTGCTGTCATTTTGGGGTTTCCTGACAAGCTGAAATGATGCACTCTGGTAAACTTTTTCTTTTCCTCTGTTACTCTCTTAACTATTCTTACTCAAATCGGTTTGATATTCACCCAGGCAAAAGCCTATTGTCTTTGAATCCTAGAGCCTATTGTCAGTAGTGCCAACAAAACTTTGGAAAAGTCTGAACGTGGAAACAAATAAAAACCTTCAAAGATAAAACCTAGAATCTCTGAAATTCTCCAAAGCTGCCATAGCTTAAAATTAATGACCTAAAGAATGCAATGACTAATAATAGTCTCTTCTTAGTTCTAGAGTAGAAAATAACAATAGGCCTAGTAAGTAGGGAGCAGAGTAAGTGTAGATATGTTAGGAACACACACATACTAGGCTCAAATCATACAATATAAATTATGATATTTTCTATTGGTTAAGAGTTTTTGAAAGTTGGATTCATAAGATTTAGAAAGGAAAAAAAAAGTTCGCTATCAGATTTAGATTGCAAAAATCTATCTGAGTATCAGATGGCAGCAAAGAGTTAGTGTTTTCTATATCTCTTTGCTTCCCTCTAGCGATCATTTTAATGTTTGCAGTCCAGTTGTGGTAGCCTTACAATACTGCCTGACAAGAACTTTAGATGAACCACTAGGAAGTTTCACCAATAACAGCAAAAAGTAACCAAGAGAGAATTATGGGTTTACATTTATTTTCCCAACCTCTTCAGTCACATGATCTGCTGTCCATGGCCATTTTAGCTTGGGTTGCAATACAGACCAGAGACGTGGTTTCTGTGGAGGCATCTGTCTATGAAACACACTTTCTGAAGCACTGGCCAAGCCTTACATCAGCTCCTTGTAAACATGAGTTTAGCATTCTGCAATCCAGTTCATTCTAGTAAAGTTGGTGGAAGATGAGAAAGTTAAAATGTTGAACTAAATAGCTAAACTGCAGGATGTAAAGGAAATGCGAACTAAAAGGTGGACTGCCCTTCCTGCTAGACCAGCTGTCTCCAGGTGATCATTTAACCAGCATTAAGTAAGTCAGGTAGTGTGCTAGGGGATAGAATTTGGGGAAGAAGCAGGTGAAACATGTAAAAAAATCCCACGTTTGAGCATAAGAAGGGAAAAGAGAGACATATAAAAAGAACAGCACTGGGAACTATAGATTGGCCTGCCACCCCCTTACTGTCAGAAAGACTACTCACAAGCAAAAGGTAAAGGTAAAAGGCAGAAAGATTTGAACAAAGAATTCAGAAATATTGAATTCAACACTCAGAATCTTGGTCTCCATATTTCCTATTTACAAACCCAACAAATTAACACCAATTTTAAAAAATAGTAGCATGTTATATGGTGTGGCGTGAAATCAAATCTCAGATAAATTGCCTTGATTTTTTTAATAAGAAATAACCATAACTTCTTTTAACTCTGCAGAAATCAGATTATAATTGTAGGAAAGCTTGTCTGTTCTAAGGAACTGTGAGATTTACTACTGCAAAGAAGAGAACTGGCTACCAACCTGGGCAAATTTAAAATAAAATCCATCCTTGCAAACGCTATCACTGGCTATAAATCATTAGGTATATATTAGCTCCAGCATCTAGAGGTAGACAGTCTCAGTACCAGTTGCTGGGCAAGACGAGGTACATAGGAGTATGAGGTTCATAACCTGTTTACAGATTTCCAGAGAGCATTTGACTGGCTACTGTACTGGGGGAACATATAAGTCTTTGGTCTTATCTGTTATCTTATCTTTGGTCTTAACTCCTTATACTACTAGAAGCTGATCTTAGGGCAAATTTCAGCTTTCACTTGATGTTAAGCATCAGTCTTGAATGAACTATACTTACCATCTCAAAGTACGATGATGATAGTTTTTATCTCCAACTGCAAGGACAATGGTTATCAAGAGGAACTATTGCCCTCAAAACCATGTCATCAAGTCTTTCTCTGAAACATTTGCAGATGGTCCAGTTAGAGAAACCCTATATTGTGGCAAAATGTTGATGTGATAGATTTGGCTCCTTGGCCACATTTTTTTTCTCAGATAGAAATGACAAATGGCCTTTACAGAAATCGGACAAATTATTTCCCAAATATTATGCATTTAAAAATGTTTTCAGTGGGTGAAAAAAAAGGAGTCCCATTTCAACAGAGGTCATGGTGTAGTGAAGGGAAATTCACTACACCATGACCTTTTCCTGCACCATTTACCAGTTAAAATCATCCCTGCAGCTTCTAATTTTCCCTCAGGTAGTAGCTTCACCAGGTTGTTAAAATGTAGACTAAAATTTCTGTACCGGATCTTGCCTGAAAGAATCAATGTGGTCACTAGATGGCAGCCATGAGATACAGAAACTTCTTGGATTTTTTTACTGCTATCTGTGGTCGTCTGGATTTTTTAGCCTTAACCTTGTATCATATCTGTTACTCTCTGGGAGTATATTTTGGGCTCAAAGAGCTCCAGTTAAAAATATTTCAGATCTCAGCTCTGTCACCCTGATTCCATCTAAAATATATTTTTGGTGCCCCATCAAAAACACTCCTCACAGCAATGTGAACGTGAGACAGGTTGACTCATGTATAGCTTTGCAAGACTTAACACTGTAGTTATCTATCTTAGATGCCATACACACAGACACACAGACACACACAGACAGACAGACAGACAGGGCTGGGAGTAAATCCCTTTGAACTCAGTAAGACGTGGTTCTGTGTACATGTATAATGGGGTAAAATCAAGCAAATTGAAGCTGACTGCTTTATAAGAGGACAGTTGAGGACCTGAATAAATCACAGATACAGTTTTTTGTGCACATGAATATTTAAACCATCAATTAACAGCTTAGGATGTTAATGTTTGTGCATATTTTATTCCATTTTATCAGGTCCTATTAAAGCCTATAAACTAATTTTCTCTCTTATTAGATTGCTCATCCAAGCATTTTTCTTGTATGGGTATATCTTTTTTTCCCCTTGTTTCTATTTTAAGGAAACTGAAACCCATTACATGCTGAGTTCCCATTCACTCCATCATCCTTTAGAAAGTCTCATTCCTTTCTAATGTAAGAATTTTATTTTTCTCTCTCTCATCACTTCTAGAAGTACACTCTAAAAGCTGCCTCTCTCTGGGGCTTCATCCTAACGAAGTTAAATGATAGAGATTTCAGCATGTGAGAACATCTATTCAGAAGTGAAAGCAACACATCCTTTGCAAACACTGAAATAGGATACAAGGGTTACCAGGTCAGCCTCTTTTAAATACAGTGGTACCACGGGTTACAAACACCTCTGTTAACGAATTTTTCGGGTTACGACCAGCTCCCGCCCCAAAAATTTACCTCGGGTTACAAACCGGATCCGCAGCCATTTTCCCTGCTGCCACGCGGTCACAGCTTCCTGTGGGCGAGATCGCAGTAGCAAGGATCCGTTCGGTGAGGCTTGTGGTGTGTTTTGTGGCGTTTTGGAAGGTTTTTGGTGTGCTTGTCA